CACATGCCATGGGCCTTTCAGCACATGCTGGTTGAAGTCCACCACAGCCTTGGTGCAAGCGTCATGTCGACCTCTTGGCCTCAAGACCCTCGAGTACCAAAGAGTGTTGTCCACCACCACACAGCCGCCAGCGGAGATCAAGCCCTCCGAGAGCAGGTCAACATAGGCAATCTGGCTCTCTTTGTCAGCGTCGATGAAGCACAGGTCAAAGGGTGCCTCGAAAGGATGACTTTCTCAGGTACCAACGAGCTGGGAGCATGCCGATCCGGTCGACCAGATCGTGCGATCAGGTCAAGAAAGATCGTATTAGATCGTCAAGTACCTGCTCAAGTCTGTTTAGACTCAAGATCCCCTTCAGGAGCTTGGTCAATGGCAAAGGTCTTGCACCAAAAAGGCAGGGCTTTCGAGTTGCAGAGCAGTTCAGTGATTTCAGGCATGCCGAGGCATCTCGGGGCTTATATAACTGCCGATGATTTTTCTGGCCCTTCTGCTCTCTCTAACACTCATTACCACCCTTCACCAGGGAGCTCGCACACTGTCCCCGACTCCCTCCCCCCGCCGAGCCACTGCCCCCTCTGTGGCCAACTGCTTGAGCCCCTCCACCGCCCGCTGCTTCCGCAGCTCCACCCGCGCGCCGGCGCCTCGCTGCGCCCGCCGCGCCGCCCAGCGCTCCAGGCTGCGCTCGCACAGCGCCTCGGCGGCGGCCTCATCGGAGAAGTCGTCCAGGCACAAGACCAGGCCGTCTTGGGGCATGGCTTCCGCCATGCCCACAGCCGTGAAGCCAGTATAGGTACCAATCTCCAAGGCACGGGTGGCCGAGCCAGCACGGATCAAGGATTGAAGCAAGCGAACCGTCAATGGACTGCTCAGCATCTGTGGCATCTTCAGTTGCTGGGTCTCCTGCACCAGTTCTTGAAGAGTCTCACTCAAGGACGTGGACATCGCGACACAGTAGTCGTGCCTCACTGTTGCCAGCATCGTGCCTTCGTAGGCATCGGCGATGACCCCACCCACCACCTCCGGGTTTCTCGCTGCATCGATGGAGGTGTAGCCCTTTCGTCCACGCCGTCCGGGTCTACACGCCGTCCGGCTCCACCACTGTAGGAGTAGCACTGCGGTGGCACCCGCAGCTGCAGAAAGCACACCCCAGCCGAGCATGACAGCGAAAGCTGGCAGAACTGGATCAAGAGTCAGCCCAAAGGCGTTCAGGGATCAAGAAACCAGTCCTGGTTCCAGTCACTGGGGCAAGAATATGTTACATTGTTTTCCGGTAACGTATTGTTGTGAAGTTTGGAGAATTAAAACCCCGCTGGATCAATCAAATGTTACAAAAGCAATGTTGTATAAGTGCCTTTCTTGCTGAACCAGTGCAATCATGATCATGCACTGCCCTTGTTGCGACCATCAACACCACCTTGAAACTCTTACAGCTGAAAGGTGTTGCAGTTTTCTGCAGATCATCAATCCAGTTTGTACTTGTGCCGACGGCAACTTGTAATGGTTTGACAGTTTGACAAAGAGTCAGAAGCCCCAGATTCAAGCTTGGTTCGTCAAAGCTTCCAAAAGCAAAGTCTGAATCTCACCTGGTGCTGTTCAGCTTTCCATTGCCGTCTAGCAGCAGTCCATATTCACCTTATGGCCCTAAATTGCACACATCGATCACTCCAAATTCTTGTCCACAAGGGGAAAACAATCTGCATACGCAGAAAACAGTATGAGTCTGAAAAAGAGTCTGAACTTGCTTCATTTGGTGCGTCCCCCGAAAAACGCTCGACTGAAACACCCCCGGCCCCACTCCCAGGGCCGATCATACGTCGGACCGCGGTGAGGGGAGCGAGGATCCGATCGCCCCTCGTGCCTGGAAGGGGCCATGATTTCGGTGACTCTGAGCAGCTCCAGCAAGTCAATGAACGAAATAAACACATGAAAACACACATGACGAACACATGAAAACACGCATGACGAAGACATGAGGAAGGCGCCATTGAAAGAAAGAGAAAAGCCATGTGTTTCGATACAGGTCTATCTTTTGCTATATGGATGGTCTATAAATAAACGGGTGTATTATGTATTCTATTCTTTTCATTTCTTTTCTATTGTCTAGTCTATCTTATTGTCTTATTATGTATCTATCTACGTGTCTGTTCATGTATATAATAGCCGTTCCTACTTTGCAAGATGTTGGGTAACACGATTTGACCATCATAAGCTCACACCCTTTACGTACGCAGCATTCCCTCCAAGCATTCAGGCAATAGGCTTACAATAAATGACTCCAATTGTTGACAAACGTCCCAATTCTCGCAGATCCTGCATCTGTTTTTTGATGCTTTTGGCATGGTCGGCGGAAAAATCATTCGTAATCCAGGGATGTCTAAAAAGAGCCCTACAGCACATGCACAAGGAACATTCAGCTACCTCTAAAGCCCAGTTTGGGAGAAAGAATATCAAGATTCTAATACAATTCTTGCGGAACGGTGGCCAGTATACAAAGCACATGAGGCAATACAGTAGTTTTCAACATAGGCTCAAGACTTGCAACGAGACCCCAAAACGGCCACTCTTCGCAAAAGCCGAGGCCTTTCGTAAGCCCTAACCACCCAAATCCTGTGACTTCGTCACTCTGACTGCCGGCATCAGTGAGGCATCAGCATTCTGGCATCCTGCGGGGAAGATTGATGTCTTCGAAAATGAATAATATTGCACTCGATGCCAAACTCGGCCAAACTTGTCGGAGCACTCACCTATACACACAAACAGATTGAAACAATATACAGCATATATATCTATATACATAAATGTGTATGTATATATATATATAAGTTCTGTATACTATACTTGGTACACACACACCCGTATGTACAAAAACATTTAGGAACAGAACAGAACTCTTACTGCCCTAATTACTAACAAGATTGGTCACTGTTGGTCTTCCGCTATGTCATGAACGGTATATCAAGCAATACTTGTGTCACTACCTGCTGCGATTACCAAAGGCATACACCTAAAACAATCGTCTCCCTGGACTCCTCATGGAAATGGAAGCCTGACCCCCAACCATTTCCTCTACATTGCAGTAGGTGGTTTGCCACCTCCATGATTCCAGGAAGTGCATGTTGACCTCCCGTGAAACACGCCGTCCATGTTGTTCACTTTGCTTCAGCCGTCTCCCAGCCGTCTGACCGGCTGCCTTTCTTCCGAAGCCATGCTCCCGAGCGCTTAAGCTGCCAAGCCCTGCAGCCGCTTCTCGCATCGTGCCTCTGTGGCCGCTGCATCGAAAAATGTGGGGATGCATCGTGACAGAAGTCTGGTCTGAGACTTGATTGCTTCAGGAAAACCGCCCAAAAAACGAACACCTTTGGAGTACCAGGTGTAGATAGGTCTTTGCAAAGAGCCTGTAGGCCTCGTACATACACCAACACATGGAACCTTGGATCAGCGGTCGACTAGGCAGAAGGGCCCCCATCCTCCGCACGAGAAACAGCACAAAACATCCGCCTTCAAGGCAGGATCATCGCTGCTGTCGAAGAACTTCTTGCACCTGGCATGTGTTCACCAACAACCCCCATGTGCCGAGCTCCTATGCAATCATGGTGAAGCGTCGTTAAGTCATTCGGCGATCATGGAGTGTATGTGTAGATATACAGGTGTAATTATACACTGTGCATATATTTATAAATGCACATATATAAGTTACATATCACACAAACACAAAGAATTCATGCCAGGTGCGCGCGCTCACACCCACAAGTTGACGTGTATGCTACGAATGTCAAATGTTGAACACATTCCCCATCACCCTCATCTACCTCTAGGAATTCAATGTCAATGTCCATGTGATGTTTTTGTCTTAGAGGTCAAACAGGACCAAAGCATACCAAAACCACCACCCTTGAGCTTTCCAGCGCAAATGGGTCACATCCAATCCAAAGGGGTCACATCCGAAGTTGATCTCCCCTTCACCCACTCTCGGGCGCTGTCTCAGGACCCTGCTCATCCACATCCTCGGCAGATCCCAAGATCACCGGCACACGCTGGTGCACACCCACCGGAGGGATGTCCAGGACGCGGCTGTGCCCGGTGATCGCCTGGAAGCAGTGAAGCAGTGAGCTTGGAGACCAGCCTCTGTGAATTCTTCTTCCAGGGTAGATCTGCCGTGCTCAAAGAGATCGGACCCAAGTTTTTGTGTATAAGTCTACAGTATATTAGCCGCATTGATACATATATATAATCGTAATCGTATATAATACATCTGTCATCTGTGTAATTTTAAATTGTTGTAAAATACATTAAAATACTGTAACATGTATTCAATGACTTATCACAGGCAAAAAGGCGCCTGAGAACTGATGGGATGGGCCAGAACACTCGTGCAGGCATGCAAAGCTAAACAGATCTAAACAGCATCTCGACTATGACTTCCAGCAATCTGACCACGTCTTCACCAGGTTGAAGAACACCCGAATTCCAAGACCACCTCACCAACCTAACTGCGTCGTAGCGGCGGAGGCCGCGGATAAACGCGCTGGGGCCGGCGTGCCTTGCCGCCAGCTTGCTCCATGATGAAGGACATGGGGGCACCTTCATACAGCAATCTCAGCTTGCCGTCCTGGAGAAGAGGGTCGGTGTCAGCTCAAACTGAATCACAGGCGCGTCCAACTGGATGTGGTTCTGACCGAATATGGCAAACAAATGGCCAACCCTGACCCTGAAGGCAAATGGGAAATTGCCAATTGAGCCATGCCAAACACCTCTATCCTAAGCATTTATACTAACAACATGCTTTCGCACATTCTTACGCGCTGCTTGGGCGACCACAGTTTTAGCTTTCGCGCGCACTTGTGTTGGGATCAAAAAACAAGTATAATTCAGGGTATCAAGAAAAAACAAAAATGAGTCAATAAAAAATAAACGGACCCAAACGAGTGGAGGGAAGTGCAATAGTCCAACTACTCGAAGCAGTGATCAAAAGAAAAACAAAAACGCATCAAAAAAAAACTAAATCCTACACGAATACCTTGGATGGTCCTGTAGGGCCTTTGGGTCGAGACCAACCTATCCACCACAACGGTCAGCCTCTGCCCTCTGTGTTCGGTTCGAAATTGCCAAGAATTCAAAAGATAAGGTGTTTCAGGTTTTGGAGATTCAAGAGGTCACGGTTGAGAAGCAGGACGCCTACATCTACAAAGATCCAAAGGCCTCGACATCCAGACAGAGACTAGAGACCCACAAAATCTTGCAGAGGTTCAGATCCAGTTCTTCCAAAATTTTACTGGCGTGCTAGAATGGAATGGCTTTCTGCCCTCTAACCTTTACTACTGTACATTCGGGTGGCTCACAGAAGGGCGGCGCCGCAGCCGCGCACACGGATTCAACTCAACTGCGCACACACATTTTATCGGCACTTGTGCCTCATCTGCGCACACACTTGTTAACTCAGCGTGCGCACACCCCACCATGGGGAGTCAAGTGCGCACGCAGGCCCTTTCCCGAATGTTGCTGCGTATTCCAAATTTTTTCCCTGCGTTGCTCACTTAAAAGGGTAATCAACTTGGAATAGCCACTTCCTTGTCTAGTTTTTTACTCTCCAGTGGCTCACCAAGGGGTGAGTCAACTTGGAATGAGCACTTCATTCTCTAAATTTTACCCCTGCGTTGCCCACAAAGGGTGAGTCAAGTAGAAATGGCAACATCCTTCTCTAAATTTTACCCTCGGGTGGCTCACCAAAGGGTGAGTCAACTTGGAAGGGCAACATCCTTCTCGAATTTTTCCCCTGCATGGCCCACAAAAGGGTGAGTCAAGTTGAAATGGCAACATCCTTCTCTAAATTTTACCCCTGCATGGCCCACACAAGGGTGAGTCAACTTGGCATGGCCACTTCCCTCTCTAAATTTTACCCTCCAGTGGCTCACCAAAGGGTGAGTCAACTTGGAATGACCTCTTCCTTTTCTAAATTTTACCCTGCCCACAAAAGGGTGAGTCAAGTCGAAATGGCAACTTCTTTTCTAAATTCTACCCTCGGGTGGCTCACCAAAGGGTGAGTGCCCACAAAAGGGTGAGTCAAGTTGAAATGGCAACATCCTTCTCTAATTTTTAGCCTCGGGTGGCTCACTAAAGGGTGAGTCAACTTGGAAGGGCAACATCCTTCCCTAAATTTTGCCCCTGCATGGCCCACAAAACGGTGAGTCAAGTTGAAATGGCAACGACCTTCTCTAAATTTTACCCCTGCATGGCCCACAAAAGGGTGAGTCAACTTGGCATGGCCGCTTCCCTCTCTAAATTTTACCCCTGCATTGGCCACAAAAGGGTGAGTCAAGTTGGAGTGACCACTTCCTTCTCAAAATTTTGCCCTGTGCACAAAAGGGTGAGTCAAGTTGAAATGGCAACATCCTTCTCCAAATTTTAGCCTCGGGTGGCGCAACAAAGGGTGAGTCAACTTGCAGCTTTCCTGGCCACTGCAGGCAGCACAGGTCCGTAAGCTGGCCACCTGCAGCAGCACAGTGCTCACAACACTCTGGCCACCTCCAGCAGCACAGTGCTGACGACACTGGCCACTGCAGGCAGCACAGCTCCGTAAGCTGGACATCCAAAGGCCTCGACATCCAGACAGATCCACCTCTAGAGTCTAGAGACCCACAACCTTTTCAGATCCAGAGACCAGGGGAACAGAGGACCAAAGGACCAGGGGCCTTACGGTCGCCTCACCTCTTCAAAATTTTACTGGCGTGCTAGAATGGAATGGCTTTCTGCGCTCTAAACTTTACTACTGTACATTCGTGTGGCTCACAGAAGGGCGGCGCCGCAGCCGCGCACACGGATTCAACTCAACTGCGCACACACATTTTATCGGCACTTGTGCCTCATCTGCGCACACACTTGTTAACTCAGCGTGCGCACACCCCACCATGGGGAGTCAAGTGCGCACGCAGGCCCTTTCCCGAATGTTGCTGCGTATTCCAAATTTTACCCTGCGTTGCTCACTTAAAAGGGTAATCAACTTGGAATAGCCACTTCCTTGTCTAGTTTTTTACTTTCCAGTGGCTCACCAAGGGGTGAGTCAACTTGGAATGAGCACTTCATTCTCTAAATTTTACCCCTGCGTTGCCCACAAAGGGTGAGTCAAGTAGAAATGGCAACATCCTTCTCTAAATTTTACCCTCGGGTGGCTCACCAAAGGGTGAGTCAACTTGGAAGGGCAACATCCTTCTCGAATTTTTCCCCTGCATGGCCCACAAAAGGGTGAGTCAAGTTGAAATGGCAACATCCTTCTCTAAATTTTAGCCTCGGGTGGCGCAACAAAGGGTGAGTCAACTTGGCATGGCCACCTCCCTCTCTAAACTATACCCTCCAGTGGCTCACCAAAGGGTGTGTCAACTTGGAATGACCACTTCCTTTTCTAAACTTTACCCTGCCCACAAAAGGGTGAGTCAAGTTGAAATGGCAACTTCTTTTCACAATTTTACCCTCGGGTGGCTCACCAACTTGGAAGGGCAACATCCTTCTCTAAATTTTACCCCCGCATGGCTTACAAAAGGGTGAGTCAAGTTGAAATGGCAACATCCTTCTCTAAATTTTACCCCTGCGTGGCCCACAAAAGGGTGGGTCAACTCAGCATGGCCGCTTCCCTCTCTAAATTTTTTCCCCTGCATTTCCCACAAAAGGATGAGTCAAGTTGGAGTGACCACTTCCTTCTCAAAATTTTACCCTGTGCGCAAAAGGGTGAGTCAAGTTGAAATGGCAACATCCTTCTCCAAATTTTAGCCTCGGGTGGCGCAACAAACGGTGAGTCAACTTGCAGCTTTCCTGGCCACTGCAGGCAGCACAGGTCCGTAAGCTGGCTTGCTGAGTAGCTGGCCAAATGGGGGATAGAACAGGAGTTCAAAAGTGGTGCTTGTTGTTGTGTGTGTTTTTCGGGAGATGCATCAAAAAATGCATTCACATAGAATACATGACAACACTTGCCATTGCAGCTCCGCAAGCTGGCCACCTACAAAAGCCATCGAAAACCAAAGGCAAAAGCCACCAAAACCCAAGAGCCACCGAAAGCGAACCTTCCTTCCTGCCCTGCTGCCTTTCTTCCTTCCATCCATCCTTCCTTGCTTCCTTGCATCCTTGCTTCCTTCCTTCCGTCCTGGCTTCGTACCTTCCTTCCTTCCTTCCTTCCTTCCTTCCTTCCTTCCTTCCTTCCTTCCTTCCTTCCTTCCTTGCCTTTCTTTGTTTCTTTTCTTTATTTTTTTATTGATGCATTTTTACTTTTTTCTTGATGCATTTATATTTTTTTATTGATGCATTTATATTTCTTTTTTGATGCGTCTCCCGGATGTGGTTCTGACCGAATATGGCAAACAAATGGCCAACCCTGACCCTGAAGGCAAATGGGAAATTGCCAATTGAGCCATGCCAAACACCTCTATCCTAAGCATTTATACTAACAACATGCTTTCGCACATTCTTACGCGCTGCTTGGGCGACCACAGTTTTAGCTTTCGCGCGCACTTGTGTTGCAACAGTGGCTTTCGCAGGCGCTTTCGCACGCTGGCTTCTTCGATAGGGGATGAAGCATTTTAAGTATGCTGTATGCTGTAGGTGTTCGTTAGGCACGGACAACATAGCAAGCAGCAAATGTAGCGCACATTTTCTACTCCAGGGGTGTCCGCACAAGCTAGTTGGAATCAGATTCAGAAGTGGTTGAGGAAGAGTCCAGAAAGAACTTGCCGAAGATGCGGTTCAGCAATAGCAGTCAGTGATTCCGAAGCAATGAGCGTGGAGCGGTACGGGGACGACAGCTCTTTCCATGATTTGCCCTTTTCCGGCGGCATGTGGACAAGAAAAGCTTGAGTGCCTTATGGGAAACAACAAAAACATTGAATTATTATATATTCAGGCTTTCAGGATCCCAAATGGTTGGTAGGTGGACCAATCACTGTTATGTGCATGAATGTCCGAAGGAAGCGATGCAAGTGCCGTGCATGTATTGATGCTCACCCTTGAAACAAGCTCCGTCTCCTGATTCTTCTTGTCCGCAGGGTATGCAAAAATGCCGCCATACAGCAGGGTGCGGTGGATATCGCCCACCTCATCCCGTCGGTTTTAGGGGAGCTTTCCGGCGGCAGCACAGAAACAGCTGGAAAAATCATCTGACATCTAGTAGCCTTCTTGCTCCTAGTAGCGATGCCCTTTGTTAGTAGTAGCCTAGTAGCGTTCTTGCTCCTAGTAGCGATGCACTGTTGAGACCTGCTAGGAGTATCCAGGACTTCGATTGGCCCTGTCTTGGACATGTCCCTGTCTTCATGGCCTCTTCATCTGCCTTCGGAAACCGGTCAGAACACCACGGCCGAATGCGGGTTGAGGCCACAAACGTCGGGGTATCTCCCCGGCTTCGTCTCTCCAAGGCACCATGGAGCCAATGTAACGCAGGGAGTAGGGCTTCTTGGACTCACCTTCCCCACCACCGTCCGCGGTACGCGCGAGGTCTGAGCTCTGCCAAGTTCGCCTATGAGATCCGTTTTTGAGGGATTCAATGGGACTCAGTTTGTTGGCTGCCCTAGGTTCTGCTTCCTCTTTCTCATGTGGCTTCTGGGTTCCAGTTGGCTCAGTTGACGGAATTCACCTGCGGGTTGTGATGGGTTGTGGCAGAAACACTTTGGGGCACTCAAAGAACTTTCTCTCTGTCCAATGAATCCCCAACTAGCACGTGGATGGGTTCTTGTTGCAGCTCTTTGGCTCTGCTTTGTGGAAAAGGATGATGTAGAATGTGGATACATCTGTAGATACCCCGGCTCCTTGATTCATCCCAACAACCAGCACAAGAATTCATGAATGTTCATGGATGTTCTGCATTCCGCCCCTCTTGCCCTGGCCAAACCTGTCCCCCCCAAAATGCCCCACTTCGGCCCTGACCCGGCACCTTCACCCTTGCGGATGGCTTCGATGTAGTCCCGCATGGGTTGATCCCACTCCTGAAGTGGCCCCATGGAGCACTCACTGAGCTTTGGGATTGCTTTTGGTATCAGCTTGAAGTGGCCGGCAGATCAGGACAAACATTTGAGACTTTGCAAAGTCACGGCCAGACTGGAAGGCGTCTTGTACCAAGCAGTGAGTTGTTTTTGGGGGGGTAACAAGGCCACATTATGATAATGTGCTCCGGACTTGGAATGCCGGTTCGTCGTAACAGGCAGAAGTTGACCGCCAAGCGTCATTGATGTTGCCCTGGTTGCACGAGTAGATCTTGCCCCTCGCGGGAATCTTGATCCTAAGGGATCTCACGAGCAGTTCCCCGCCTGAAATCCTCGACATTTGCCCGTAGCAAATAAATATATCCATTCATATGGTATATATATATATATTGTTTTAACAAATATATATATATATATATACATAAGGCGCCAGCATCTCACACACTGAAACAAGAATTCTGCAAATGTCCCTGTTGTTCTGACCACTGGAATCCAGCATCGCCTTCTGCCCGACCTTTATTCAAAAGGTGCCATGACAGCTCCACGGTTGGAACAGAAATGCATCGAAAGACCATCCCCAACACGCCTTGAGCTGGTTGACTCCTATTGAAGCAAAAAGTGGAAGCCCTTCTTCTGTGTGTATGTTATCACCCGTTAGAGATGTTAGAGTCCTCCAGTAAATCAAACAACTACATTCTCAGAAAATCGTTGATGAAGTTGCCACCCCGGAAGGAGTCATTGGTGGACCTCTCGACATCTCTGGATGCAGTATAATATATAGTTATATTGCAATTATACTAGATACCAGCACCTTCCAACAGGTCTCCTTTGGAGGGTTGTTAGGCCCTAACAGGTTCAATTGGTGACCTGTTGGAGGTGCTGGTATATATATATATTGTAATTTGTATTGTATTGTGCCATGGGCCCGATGCAGCCCCAGTCTCGATGGTCGCGTCATCACGAACTCGCCGATGCCTCAGTGGGGGCCCTCCAGGCAAGGAGGTGAGCATGCAATGAGCTCTCCTTGCCTCTCAAAGATACATGAAAAGTGAAGTTCCGAGGCTCCGGTTGCTTGGGCCTTCCTGTCAACCCACAGCCAACAAGCCAGTTTGGTGGATGGGGTAGCCGCACCACTACCACTCCTCGTGGTTCACGTACGCGACGAGTGGCTGCTGTCCAGGGTGAAGCCCACCACGCCCTGGCCGAAGGTCAAGACCAACTCCGTGGAGGCCGAGTACAAGACATAGCCAGCAGCCACCAGCGACTGCGTTTGGATGCTGAGTTGGGTGGTGGTGGTGGTGGTGGTGGTGGTGGTGGTGGTGGTGGTGGTGGTGCATTGGATTTTGGACGCCGTGAAGGATGGATTGGAGGCCCCTCTTGGCCCCTCTTGATATGGAGAATCCCGGTGAATGAGCATTCTGGGACTTCGGAACGACGCCCTGCGTGGAGCAAGACGTCCTCCCTTTTTCCTCGGCTCCACCCCTCGAGACCCGACCGCACCCACCTTGCCAGGCTGCAGAGTACCAGCCAAGCACCTGCACTCGCAGCTGTGAAGCTTCAGCAACTTCGGACATCAATAACAGTGCTCATTGGCGAAACCAAGCATTGGGGAGGAAGTCCCGGGGTCCCGCTCGCCACCCGATCGATCACATTGGTTATACATGTTATACAGTACACTTTTTTACGCGTCAACTCCGGCTTGAACATGAAGAAGAGAATACTTAGTCTTCCGGGAAACATGTGTATGTTATATATTATTCAACCATGAGCTTGGGGATTCAGACTTTGACTGCCCCTTTCTTTTCCCTGCGTGTTTGATTAGCTCTTCTGCCTTTGCTGGTCTTCGGACAGGCCCTTGGACAAGTCATCTGGCAGCTCGCACTCTGCAGGGTCAGGCTCCTGGTGACAATGGCACACTTCGATCAACAAACGTCAAATCAATTCAAATCATGGAGGTGATCTTCCAGTTCGGAGACTCCGAGAATCCTTGGATTCCTTTCCACGATGTTCTACTTCGGTCTGTCTTCTGGAGTGATTCCACAGTAATTCCCCGGAGCCTCCCAGACCTCACGTCTTGGCTGAAACAGCTCATTCTGTCGACTGTGGTGGTCACCTGACCACCCAAGCCTGAAAGACACCGAAGATGGTGCCCACAGGGATGCCGGCATCCACATTGCCTCGGGGAAAAAAGGCGACGCACCAAACCAGAAAAAATGCACCAAACATCACCAAAGCGATTCCCCGAAATGGAAGACGATTTGGTCCGTTTGAATCGCGCCTTTCAGGGTGCATGCTATTCTGGAGGGTCAAGGTGGTTTGAATCTTGGAAAGCCAGCTCTTTGCTTTGCCATCTACTCCGAAACTTGCTCCACCCCACCCTCGCCCAGTCGCTGCTGCCATCCAGGGGGGTCGAAGACGCAAATGTATTTCCCGGTGTCTGCAAACTCCTCAGCTGAAAGGAACCAGGACACCCGCGCCGTCGCGCGCCAGGCGGAACTCACCGGCAGGTCGAGTGCCAGGTCGGCAGATGGCGACGACCGAACCATTCGACGACGCCGACCACCCACCTCGGGCGACAACCAGCACCCCCTCCCTCCAACAAAGATACACAGAAATGATAGTTGCTGATGCCTCAAGAAAGGAGAGACATCCCATGTGTTGCTTATCTGTGTTTTCCTCCAACTAGCATTTCCACGGAATTTGTTGGCATGGGTCGTCATTGGTGATTGCGTCGTTCATAGCAAAATCGTGATGACTGTGAAGCTGTGCACTAGCAAAAATGATAAGGTCTTATCATGTCTATTCTATCGGCATCTATCGATAGCCACTGGGATAAACGAATTCCAGACACATGTTACTTGGGAGATCCATTTGGTTGAGAGGTGGCGTGTCCCATTGTGTCCGGCCTCCGACAAGACAGGGATGACTTCGCTGCTCTCACCTGCCCTGCAGAAGTGAAGGAGGGTGAAGAAGCTTCTCTTGCAGTAGGTCAAACGTTGGAAAGTTGTAAAACATAAAGTTGTTGTTCTCAGTAGTTTCTAGATGGCACAAGCCCAAAGATGCTTTTACATGGGCGACCAAATAAACCACCTTTGGAAGATTGCGCATCTACTCTGAAACCACTGTATTGAACGGATGCTTTGCGTGGGTGTGCTTGATGCGATGACGATGACCATGCTCACGACCATGATGATTGTGCTGATGATCATGATTATGATATATAGATCGAAGAGTAGCAAGCCTGCAACACGATGTTGAAATATGTTGGACCTTCTTGGAAGACACTATACCTTCCCCTCCATCTGCGATGATGTTTGCTGCACCTGGAAGATAGCTGTCTTCCAATTCCATTTTCTGCCATATTTATATACAGTATCCGTGTTATCACGTTTTATGTGTGTTATCTTGTTATTTGCCCGGCTTCATGTTTCTGTGAGCTTCACGTTTTTTGCACGAATGTGTTCTTGAAAATCGAAAGCTGTCGAACTTCTTTCTCGGGTTCCAAATGGTAAACCTAACGAAAGGCTTGAGGCATGAGGCAAGGATTTCAAACCCATAGACACCCGCGCATGAAGACCTGTCAAGTTTGTCGGCCACTTCCGTCACCATCGTCTGTGGTGAGCTAACACATATCATCCGACTGTGGTGTTCGAGCTGATTCCCGAAAAAGTGTTCCAAACAAAGTTGAAACCTGGAAAGTGCTCAAGTTCCGGAAAAAAATGCTTGGATCCTAAGAAAATGCCCGAAGAATCTTCTAGTGCACCAAACACTACCAAACCTCTAAATAAGTGCACACTTTTTTGTGTACCAAAAGAGTCTCATGATGCGTTGTATGTGGGCCCACAGCGCAACCTTATGGAGATACAACAAGACATCCATCCACCCACCCAATCCCACCAAATCCCAGAATCAAGTGATCTTAGCACGCTGTCTCCCCACCATCAATACAAACAGGGCCCTCCACGCAAAACGGCCTGTTTCAGGGAACCGCGAACCATCCGGCCCCTCCCAAAGCCTGGCTCCATCCACTGGCTCATCTTCTTCTTCGGATGCCAGGGTTCCCATTTTGCCTTGGCGTCCGAGGGCTAGTCCAGGCAGGTCCATCAGGGCATTGCCTATGTATACCTAGAACCTGAGTCTGACCTCTACTATTGAACCACCAACCACCCAAAATAGGGTCCTTTTCCTATCAAAACAGTGGATCAAACGGGTTCCCGGGTTCCAGGTAGATGGAGCTTCGGTGATGGCGCCAGAGGCAACTCAACACTTTCTTGGCCACGGCGGTTTTCGAACAGCAAGTCAGACTCTACATCTGCCATGCTGGCCACCCACATCACATTCACAAGTCCGTCTGCCTGTGTAGCGCAGCGCATTCTTGAAGACGTCGTTGGTGATGACCTCAAGCAACGCGCCGTTTCCCACGCCAGACGTCGTTTGTGTCAAATCGTCAAATCATTGTCAAACCTGAATGTTTTTGGTGAAGTGGTTAGGCGCACTTCGTGCAGTAGCAGCCAGCTTTGACCCTGAACGATGATACTGACTAACAAAGAAAGAGAACAATAACGATGAAAACAAGAGGGCGCACACAGGCCATGCAAAAAGTTTAAAATGGATTGCAATGCTGCATGGCACTTCATCTTGAAAAGAATCCCCAGGTTCTTCTTAACTTTACTCCGGACCATCTTCCATCCAGCCGCGGCCATTCCATCAGCCGGGCAACATCCAACTTCTTCTGATCCTCGCCCTGCACGTTGATCTCACCCTGCAAGCCCAGCAGCTCCGCCTCCGATCCAACAGACGGGCGCGCTCCGTCGCGCGCGCACGCCGGGTTCGCGCGCGACATGTTCGAAGCCGATCTTGCCATGAAGCAAGAAATGTGTGTGGGATATCCGGATATCAGTGTAGTACATATACTTAAAGCCGATCCCCTTCTATACACAATATTCAAACTACATATAATATATAAATTTTATTGATGACATCTATATTTCTTAATGTGCACTTTTGTGGTACCTCTTGGCTCCTTCAAAGCCACGCCTGCTTCAAGGGCGCGGTATTCACCAGCTTGGAGATAACTTTGGCTGCCTGCAACACAGCGCCGGCATACTGGCAAGCTTGGCTGGTTCATGCTTGATCATTTTTGCATCATGTGCTAAACAGTCTAAACATGTCTAAACATATGTAGACTTTACGTTTGTCCTTGTTATCCAAGCTGCTCGTGCTTCACGACCCTTTACACTACTACAAGCCCACCCATGATGGAAACAATCTCCAAGGTACCTTTAAAGGCATCAGCACTTCTAAGGTTTTAGGCTAGGAGGAGAAGTGTGTTTGCTTAGGCCTTAAAATAAGGGAAGGCCCCCAAAATCGCCTGCAAGCTGGTGGTTCACACCAGCCACATGGCTACATGGGAAGCAGCAGCTCCTCACCCCGGTGCACCTCGCGGATGGAGTTGAAGATGGAGCTGAGGTCCTCATCGATGATGCCGCGGTTCGCTAGCTCGATGCAGTAGCCTCCGATGAGAAAACAACAGTGACAGTTGCTCGCTGGCTCGCTTGATCGGCGGCAGCTCGTAACCACATAGGATAACAGGGTCCAAAGGATACTCTGTCAGGGGATCAATACTATATATACACCTATGCTGCTACTGCCTATGCTGCCTGCCTACGCCGGGGCATCTCTGGCCGTTTTTGATCGTTTTTGACCAACTCTTTGCAGATAAACTTGTGAACATCTCTGACCAACTCTTTAGTCTTTGACCATCTCTGGCCGTTTTTGACCAACTCTTTTTGATCGTTTTTGGTCCCTGTCAACTTCGGAACTTGCAACCTGTGACGATCTACTGCGACGATCTCTTCTACTCGGGAGTGCGAGCGAGCAGTCCGACTGGGGTGTGGATCGTCTGCCGCTCAGCCGCCAGGATCTCAGAAATTTATACAAAAACCCTGAGGCATCGCATCAAAGAGGCGTGACTTCCAGCGACTTCCAGTCTTGAGATTCATTGGTGTAAAAAGGAGTAAAACGACCATTGGAAAGGGCTGATGACGGCGAGTAATACAGGATCTGCCACATTCACCTCAAAAAAAAGGAGCATGCAAGGATCTCATGCGCTTACTTCCACATCCATCCATCAGCCCTGTGTGAAAAACCGTCTCTACCACTCCCTCCGCTCTCCACGATCATCTCCGAGCGTCGGCTGAGCGTGACCCCGGTCTGCTCGCACACGTCTTCGAACTCATCCACCACCCGCTGAGCAGTCCTGGGCATCAAAATGTCTAATGAAAACGAGGAGGATTTTCCCGGTGGCACTTGTACACTGGCAGCAGTAGCAGTAGCCACAGGCATTGTCCTATAGTGTAGTAGTACTGGTGGTGGAATGTGGTGGACGTGCGATGATGCGACTACACGCAAAAGAATCCAGGGTCAGTCATTGTTTGGTACAGCCATGGGCCATGTGCAAACATTGGGACCCGCGAGCCAGCTGACCCCACCCCTCCTGCCCTCCTGCCCTCCCCATCTCTCCTGGGCTTGGAGGTCTTGGCCTCAAATCCAGGAGGTAAAAAAGAAACAATGTCTCAGATGTCTTCCCAGGCTTTGCTTGGGACAAAGCCTGGGAAGTGTCTACAATCAGGGCTTATCATGGCTTATCAGGACACACGGAAGATGGATCAATTCGTTGGTGATGCGGTGAGCGCGATGGAACGTTCTTGAGTATTCACGGTCACTGTGCGTCAATGCTTGCCCTGTCCAAGCGCCTCTGCAGTCGAAAAGGAAGAAACATGACTAGCACATGGCATGAACTGACAATTTGGATGATTACCCTGACACCGTTGCATATGCTGCCTGCCAAAAGAATCCAAAAGGTATACAGTGATTGTAGAGGAGAATTGATCGTCTTTCTAGGGGCCATGGTCCACGTCCAGCATCTCCTCCGTACTGGGCCACGGGCCCCTCGCGTCTGGCGGCGAGCCGCGGCGCAGGCAGAAGCGCCCAAGGCAGCCGCCAAGGCGGGAGCTGCAAAGCCATCAGCCTGACATGGATGGTCAAAGCTCGCTTGCCATGGATCGGTAACAAGATGTAACACGTGCATCGCTATTTGTAACAAGGGCTTTACTATATTGAAACACACTCACCTTACTCACTGAGTGCTTTCGTCGTCCAGGGGGCAAGGTCGGCCTAAGGGGACTATGCCGAGCAGAAGGGCCTCTTCACCCCGAGATGCGCCTAAGTCCTTTCAAAAGGAAACACCAGGGCACGGGCACGGACTGGTTGGTATCATTTGGTATCATATCCCCTTCAATCAACCCAAACATACCCAAACAATGGAAACCTATTGGAAATCTTATGCAGGATACCCTGTAGGCCACCCGACCACGCAGACAAGACACCCCCAAAACCGACTCCTGAACCCATCCCGCGCGCAACAGGAGATTTGGACGAATAAGGACCTGTTCAACTTTCAAAACGACCTAATTACTCACCTGGCAGCCATAAAGGGAGGAATCTTGATTTTGTGCATCTCCAGGTCCATGCAAAACCTTTCTGAAGATCTTTGAAGACCTTTTGAACATTTTTGAACTCCATGTCCGTCAAATGCGCTACTTTCGTACACTCCAACGATGTTCGTCGAATACCACGATCCATCGCCTTTTCGCGCCAACCACAAACAATTCGGGGCGCGTTCCTTTCGTTTTCCAGCGGGCGCGCTGCAAAGCCTATAGGTGACCTCTTCGGTGCCTGACACCGCTCCCCGGTCGTCTCGTGTCGGACGCTCCGGACGCTCCTTGGAGGTCTTGGCACCGGTGGTCGTGGCTCCGCGTGGGGCCAACGACCGAGGGACCTGAGGGACCGATCGGAGGTGCCGGTTCGGAGAGTGATGCCTCCGGGCTGATGTCTGTCACTTCTGTAACCTTGTGACCTTGTGTGTGAGATGTAAAGTATGTGCAAGTGGTCCACTATGAGAGCTGCTTGACCTGCAAATCTGAACTGCAATGACATTTTGCAGATTCCTGGTCACCAAAGAGCGAGGCCCGGGTTAAGTTCAAGGACGTTCAAGGGCCTGCACATCAAAACTCCAACATGATGTGATTTCGCACACCTGCTCTACTTCATGTTGTTGCTGTAGTTTCGGGATGCTAGTAGAGATGTTGGGTTTCCCACTTTGGACCAGCTCTTCCCCTTCCCCGGGGCTCCAGGCACCAGGGGTGACAGTGAAGGCCAAACTCCCAGCCACCGCGGTCCCGGCAGCCATGACCTTGCATGCTTTGCCTCAGTTGCCACCCAAACTCGCCGCTCCACACTCGCTCACCGGCACTTAAAGTACCACTAAGTCAGTGAAAAAATCCAATGGCACGTATACCATGCACTGACCAAACACCGGTATCAACTGCGGCACCTCCGCAATTCGCCTCACTAGACCCCATCGACCTTCCAAACCGAACCGGGACGCTCTGGTGGAACCGAACCGAACCCTCTGGGCCGGACGCGCAGGTCTTTTGAAGAACACGGCCACAGATCTGCCCTGCTTGGTGATCTGCTTCATAGACTGGTTGTGCAATAACGGGACACGTTATGAGCAGCACTCTGACCATCACCACATGTTTTGTGTTTCTGTTTTCTCCAGGCCTCCCGCCTACCCTCCTTGGCCGCAAGAAAGCGCGAAACCAAATGCCCTTCTCCAGCAACACTTTGGCCGCACGGGCTCCACTCGACATTGCGAGTGCATGGGGCGCATGCGCCGAATCCGACAGCAAATGAGTCTTCCAGAGTCTTCCACCCTCTTTCATACTCCCTTCAAAGCACATGGGTCATTGAAAGCGCTTCGTAGCCAATAGCGGAATAGCATGGGTAGGGAGCTGAAGGCCATCTCAATTCTGCTCGGCACGCCTTCCAGACTCATTCTTCAGCTCCGGCAGCTCTTTTCGGCCGAGCCGAGTTCGCCAGAAAGGCCGCGCGAATGAAGGGAAAGGCCTGGCAGGGTGGGCAAGGCCAGCTCAAATGGATTTCAAATGGGGTCAAATGGCCAAGGGGCACATGATATGGAGTCTATGTCCGAAATCCTGCTTGGAAGCTGCTTGGCGAATGACCACACTTGCTTTCGCTCGTCAGGGTCAATTGCAGTTGATCATGGAACCGTGGATCAAAGAAGTAGGGCCGCATATCCGCATATGTATGAAGTTCTGGAGCAGCCAGTCATCAAATACCCATGCGCCCATGCGAGATGTCCAGCACTTTTGGCAATATGGAACACTGCAACATGACATGGTGACCTGAAGCGATTTTGTTGTCTATTTCTCCACATCTCTGATCTTCCATCAACAATCAAAGTTCAAACATGGATCCTTGCACAACCAAGTGGTCTTCCAGGTTTGGTGTTCGTGCATGTGACTTTCAGAAAGCACTCTCAGTCCGCTTGACGGGTTCAAAGGTAGATCCATATCCCTGAAACCTCCGACCAGTCACTTGACCCTTCCAGCAGTCTGAAACTGTCACGGATCATATGAGTGTCTGTCAACAAGGTCTTGTAACGAAGAGGGCATGATTGTTCTCAAGGTTATCGCTTTTAAGGGGGGGCCTATAGCTTTTTCATCTTCAACAAAGCATGAACATATCCAAAAACATCCAAAAACTGCGGCAGCATGGTTGCCGCTCTTGAGGGGGCCCTGTCGCTGTTGCAGGTTCTAGCCAAATTCCTGAACTGCACGACCGCTCTTTGCCAAACTGGTCATTGCAGTCATTGCACGTTTTGGCAGTTGCTCATGGGTCATGGGTCGCAGGGTCCTCTCCATGTTGGGCCTCAAACCCCAAACGGCAGGGACACTTCCGTTTCGCGGAGGGTTCGTTCGGCTCGTTCCGCTTCTTCCCCCAAGCGGAGGGAGGCGCCGTCCCCGCCTGGCGGCCCAAGAAGTTCCAGGTCAAACTCACCGAGTCCTCCAGACAAACCACCTCGTGGGCCCAGTGCATGGGCACGAAGATCGTATCGCCTCAGTCCGGTCCGGCGGTCCGCTGAAGGCGGTTCGGTGAACCTTCCGGGCAGACTGAGAGGGTCCATCCTCCCCGAAGTTGTTGCGTGTGCACCATCGAAAGACTATACAATTAAGATATTTATAGTTATGGAACTGTCCATGCACACGCAGAATCACAAAGAGGGGGACAGAGAGGGAGGGAGAGTTGCTCAAGAAACCAAGGAAGAATCAAATATATAGCCAGGAATAAACATCACTAGGTGGCTGACAACCGAGAAGATGTCGGTTAACCAAAATGACACAACTAACACGACCTACCTAAGACAGTACAAATCTCTGCGTGTCCCTCTCCTCGATGTGATTTCATTACATGTTGCTTCTTTCGCTTCTTTGTACCCCTTCGTCATTTCCCAGGCTGCTCACCTGGCTCTAAGATCACCTCCAAGGGCTTCACCTCTTTGTCCCTCAAAATCTCCTCCAGACACCGGAACTTCTGGTCGCTCCGCAGTCGCTGGAGCTCCTGTGGTGGGAAAAGGGTGAAGCGCTTCCGCCCTGAAAGCTGCGTCAGCCACGCGTGGGTCGTGGAGGGATCCACGTGTAAGGGAGTCTTGGCACCAGCAGCGCCCAAGAAAAGCCAATGGAAATCGGGATGATGCCGCTTGGGCAGGCGCTTGAAGTAATCCTGGCGCGGATTCAGCTCCCCGTAGTGGGGACGTCGAACCTTGAATGTTTTGCAGCCCCAAATCAGAAGAAGGGAGCTGATCCAATTGAAAAATGGTGCGGAGTTCTGATTTGTGTGTGTGTGCATCCATCTCTCTCTCTCTCTCTCTATCTCTCTCTCTCTCTCTTGGGTACTATTCGTGTACGTGCAGGCATGAGAAACAGTGGCGAGCTGTTAAAGTCTCACAGAAATAGGACAAGCGCGTCATTTTGGACAGGAGCCCCCACACTCCTCGAAGGCACAGTCGTGGAAGTCGCCTTGTTGCCACAAGTCCTCCGCCAGCCATGGTGCGTCCCGCTCGTAGTACCAGCCCCGCAGGTAGGGCAACTGCTCCGGTGGGATTGAGTGGGACAGGGACTCCAGGTAGGCACCCAACAGTTGCATCTCTCGTTGACCCTTGGGCAGCGTCACCTCCACCTCTACATGCCCACAGGTCTGCTGAAAGAAGTTGAAGTCCCACCTGGTGGACCCACCCTCTCCCCGGTGACTGGGTCAATTCAGGAGACTGGGTCATCTCATGGGACTGGGGTCTTGACACATCATGACACGTCATCCCCAACTTCAGCTGGCGCATGGACGCTACTTCTGGTGACTTCACGTATGCTGACATCTGACATCCTGCGCAAGCGCAAGCAGGACTGCCTGACAGTGACAAGCAAGATCCAACGAAACCAAATCTGTCCTTTGAAATCCTTTGAACCAATTCCTGTCCAATGAATGGCCCAATGCTCGACCCATACCACCTCATGAGGATACATGACTCCAATGCGCAAAATTATGTGGCAGCACTACAGGCTCAAAAAATCAAGAGGGAAAAACATCGCGTCCATTCAGAATGTTCAGTGCAGGGTACTTCCCCATCTTCCCCTAAACAGCCCCAGCATCACTCAGCATCTCTCACTCTCTCTCCACCATCTCGATGAAGATTGCCCTTCATCCGCGTCTAAAAATTCTAAAAACACCTTGGATCACCTTGGTATGTCACATGTCACATGTCACGACCCCCCAAAGAGAGCTCCACTGCACGATTTCAGCGACTTCCGGAGAATGGGCCCCCGCACTTCCCCACGGCTTTCCACCCTCGCGTGGCCCAGCGCCGCAGCACCGCCGGCCGGTGCCGCTCCACGCGCTCGGCGACGAAGAGTTGGGCGGTGACCGGCTCGCCCAGGACGAGGTCGGAAGTATCGGAGCAAAGGAGCCCCTGGGCGTGGGAAGAGAAGCTCCTGGGGTCGAGGGGTTTGACAGTTTTAACTGGCCTTGAATCGGGTTTGGGCCTCTCAGCCGATTAAGGATGGGCGTGGCATGCGCCACACAAGGTCCGGCAGTATGCAGGCCTCAAGAGGGTTTAGATTTCAATATAGTGGGCGCGGCACTCGTTGAAATCATGAAGAGCACTTCAAGGTGAGTAGTTTCCATAGATGGCTGGTCAGGAATGACTTATGCTCTACAGGTTTGTTCTTTTGCGGTTTTGAGGGTCAAGGCTCTTCTTGGGCATCTTACTTTGAACGAGGTGAAACAGAACAACATCTCTGGAACGGCTTAGGGTAAGTAAGCATCGTCCTCGACTCCTTCAGTCACCACCCCTATAGTTGACATGAGGTGATGGAGACCTGCCAGGGTTCATAGGCTGCGGCAACCGCAAACGCTCCAATTCGCCAATGAGCTGATTGATATGCATTCCGACCGTGCCAATTCGTTCGCGGCTCTAGGCTTGCACATCTACTCAAAAATCACTCTTCTCAGTTAGCTGCCAGCTGCCAGCTGTTCAAAGTTGATGGTTTGCATACAGTACTTCACTGAAATTGACTTGCCGGGCGTCACGCGGCAAGGAATCTCTCATCAACACTGCTCGGCTGCAGCTGTCCACACTTACCAACTCACCATCTGCATAAGCATACAGGACCATCTGCCCATTGAACCTTCGATCAGTGGAAGTGTACGCACGCAAGGGAGTTCAAGGCCAGGATTATCCTAGTTAGTTAGTGTGATTTACAGGGTAACGTGGGCCAGCTGCTGCGAAAAGAAAAGAAGAGCTGAGAAGAAATACCTCACCTATGACCACAGTCCTCAAAAAAGTAATATATAGATCCATGGAACCGTGGTCTGGCTCAGCGGCAACAAAAGTCAGCTCAACCAGACTGTCCGAGACTTGGGCTAAACCAAGACAAAAATATGATATGAAACCACGAGCCAAGAAGCATAAACCCCGAACGCGGAAGCATTAAACCCCGAACCAATAAGACCCTAACCACGTCCAACTGCTTGATGAGGATGTATTTGGAAAGCACCATCATGCAAAGGAAGCGTTTTAGCAAACCCTAGTGCAAATGAATGCCTTGCACCTCTTATGGGCTGAATTTGGGTGTGTTCGCTAAAATCTGGACAGTTTATCATGCAGAGGAAGTGATTCGAACAACCCTAGTGAAAATGAGTGACCACAGGGCAAGAAGTGAGTGCCACTCAGGGACGTGGTTAAGGGATGTTAAGGGCGGTTTTGTTATCTTTAGGGTGTTTATTGCTATGGTTCAATGCGTGTTCTCGTGGTTTAGTCTCAAGTTCTCGTGGTTTAAACACACGTACCCGTGGTTTAGGAGCAGCCTTAGACTGTCTACAAATCTATGATTAAACACAGAGTGTCAAAGGGGACCTGCCAACTGACTTGAATCCAGTTGGGCACATCAGTGCGCAAGTCTCCCCCTCAAGGACCACACCTTATGTCATCTTCGGACCGGTTCACCAAGGCACAAGGGCAAAGCAGTCACCGGACACGGTTCCACCTCCGGAACACACGCATCCAGGTGCACCTCCTCCCCGGGAGGCCCGGACAGGCTCCGGTGGAGCGCCGAGGAGAGGAAGCTGGAGAGGAAGGCACACAGCTCCCGGCTGCTGGTGAGGCCCATGGGCGTGAGGCCGGGATCGCTTGGAAAGGAGGCGATTAGAAGAACCTGGCATGTGCTTAAAGAGATTCTATACTCCTGTGTGAGATGGCCGAGATGGATGCGTGATGACAGCCAAGATCGATAAATCTGTGATCTATGGATCAGAGGTCACCCAACTGAGGCCACTCCTCTAAATCTACTTGTTAGCCATGAATACAATGGCTTGCCACTGGGTGCCTACTGAACTGTATATATTATCATAGGGCTATATGTTGTATGCTTGTATGCAGCGCCCTCATGCATTCGAAGCCACTGAGCACATGCAAAGCCACTGAGCACTGGATACTGCAGCCACTGAGCGCAGGATCTGCCTTTGGTCTAGTCAGCTGAGTCAGCTACAGAACAAGGCATCCACATGTATAAGCGTAGAGTAGTGGTGATCCCCACTCCTGATGTTGGAAGTTCCCCTAAAAAATAAACGAACAAAAGTCGGTGACTGGTGTCCTTTTGGAACGATAAAGGGCGTTCAGTCAACCAACCAATAGGTTCAGGATGGTTCAAGGCCATCATCTATGATCGGGGATTCCAAGCACGCCTGCCTCATCCTCCCAAAACCACACGGACCCGTCCCTGCAGCAGTTCGTCTGCCAATTCCGGGCTGGGCCCGCGGCTGTTGGGCATCTTGGCAAATCCGTCCAAGCCAAAGTACTTTCTCCTTGAGCCCTCCAAGCTGAGCCGATGCTACTCCAAACCAAAACCTTTGCAAATCAGCATGTGGCAACGTTGGTGTCCAGCCACTGCTGCATGAACCTCCGTGGTTCAACAAATGAAGCCGGCAGACATCATTGTTGAACCAACCCTATTTGGCCACCTGGCTGACGTCAATCTGACGTTGTGGAGGTCCGAAGAAAGAAATTCCTCTGAATGGGTTACCTTGAGCAACTTGACAAACCATTCCATGCAGGATTTCGAGGCTCAGGCGCTGATCCCTTTCTTGTCTGCGCTCACAAGTCAGTACAGCCAGCTACTGAGAGCCTGAGAGCTACTGCAGCCAGAAGTGCCATGGATGTCATGCTGTGGCCAGCTTGTTTATAGGTATACATGTGTAATTATCTTTACCCAAACCCAGAAGGCATGCACCCCCTCTTGGAAGCCGCGGCCTTTGAAGGGATGAGAGCATCCCAATGGTCAGTTGCTCCCTGAATGGAAAAAAACATGTGTGGCGAGTTTCATCCAGCCCGGCCAACCATGCGTAGATGGCCAGGTCATTACAGGTATGAGTCATACGAGTCTCTCAGCAAAAATGGGGTAGTCGGGCAGGCCAGCAGGGCTCGGATCAGATGTTCATGGATGTGTTTTTTCAATGAAAAAATTGAACAAAACTCTTCCATGTTCTATTTGTCTTTGATGCTTCTGGTGGATCACCTCTTCATCGCCCGGCCGAAGGATTCTCAAGGGGCCTCGCGGACATGTGTCACATGTTAAAAAAGAACTCAAAACTCATGTCTTTGAGGAGTGGTTGGTAATCTAACCCTCGAGAAGCTTGCGCGCTTTACTTATGGCAAATCAACTCTGACATGTAAGACAATGCATGAAAATACATGAACACACAAAAAAAATAGTTAGTGACAGTGGCAAGCATTGTTGGTTGGGGATGGGACGCAGAATGCCACCAACCTCTTAGTCTTAGTGGGACAAGCAGCAAATGATAACCTCAAACGCACTCCCATGTGTTCAAGTGCACTAAAAGGACAACCTGTGTATGGGTTCCGAACCCAGGACCTATCCATTTCCGCTATGGAACGACAGTCCCAACTTGGACGTTGGCATATGATCATATGATGGTGTAAGTCCTGGCTGGTGGGCTGTGGAGGCAAGATGCTGCAAAGCCAGTAGCTATAGGTGCAGAGACATCACCAGGTTGCAAGACCACCCCCCAGTCAAAGATAGTTAGTTGGAGCCTTCAGGGTTCCCAGTTCCACCTGCAAGATATGCTGAATGATGCTGATATGTTCCGTAATGATTGCTCTGTTCATGTCCCAATCTCTCTCACAAAAAGAAACGTCCGCCTCTCCCAGCACCTCATCGTACGGAGATCGGCTACGTCCAAGGAAGGCAAACCTTCCAAGCTCGGAGAAAGTGGTCTGTGGTCCCTGGTCCCCTGATGTCCCCTCATGTCCGCTGATGTCCCCTACGGATCCAATCCCATGCATGACGCATCTGAGCCAAGACCGCGCAACATGGCCGTTTTCAGGGCCCCTCAAGGAGTTCCTCTTGTCTTCGGAAACATCTAGTGATTGTCATTCAGTGTGGGCGGGTGGGCAGCTTCAGCTCCCCAAAAATGTTGCAGAACACCCAGTCAACGGTAAACACAACCCTCTTCGGAGTTTGCCACGGGAAAAAAAAAGGAAACACACACACACACAAAGGGTTGACATCAAAGGCCTTCAAAAACCCATGGCGGATCGAAAGCTAAGCTATTCAAATCAATAAACAACATGCACACCTGATCGATTCTCCAGCTCCCGCGGTCCAATAGGTCGGATCCTTTGGCACAAGTGAGGTTCGTGACTCGAGCCAGTAGAAAGATGAACCCGTAATTATTATGCAATCGGCAGGCTGTGTATATATATATATATATGATTATGTGATTATATATATATATGTGTGTGCGTATAGAGGTAAGGGGACCAAAGTCCTAGGAGCATGGAACATGGATCTTCCCATCACCCACTCCTCCCTCCATATCACGCCGCTTCCACCAAACCCGCCAAGCATGTCACAGCATGTCACCCCGCTGTGGACGTCGCCGCCTTGCACTGGCCAAGGTCACGGCAAAGATGCAAAAAATGAGGTTCGAACCCGAGAAGACCTGGGCGACGCCGCGGGCGGCGCATGGTTGGCTGCGCCACTGGTGGCAGGCAGCTGGATGCCCAGCTCCACCAAAGGAAAGCCGCCGAACCGCATTCCGGACGGCGGGGCGGCATACTGCATCACTGCATCAAGGGCGAACAATGTCAGTGGTGAAGCAAAGCTCTGCTATGTGTCTTGAATGGAGCTATATAATGGAGCAAAGTACATCAACTACCGAACCACCACCGAAGCATCACCCAAAACGATCCCCCTCCCCAAATCTACCGTGGCAATCAACAGACAGAGGACACCCACTAGGACACCCTCATCTTCCAAGGTTTTGGGGGTTCGTATTTTGGCTTGGGGCCGCCATAGAAGAGCGCTTTCAGGGTGGGAGATGGATCCAAGAAATCTCCAGAGGCATCGACCAAGAAATTCTGGAAGCCTTGTACATGTAGCGCCTTCACCTGGCGGTGCAGCGAAGCAAACATTGCTTGCTTCATGACCAGCACCATCGTCGAGTCACAGCACCATCAAAAGGACGCCTCTAAAATGGATTGAATCTTGAGTGCTAAGTGTTAACTGCGAACTTATGCGAACTTTATACTGAAGCAGCACAAAAGGACCATGTGCATCCTCGTTCCCACAGACAAGCACATCGAGAACAAACAGAAACAAGTAAAAGATGGACATCGCCCGCATGCACAGGCACAAAACCCCCCCAAAAAAGAGGACCAACATTGACAAACACTTGATGAACAATCCTCTTACTCCTTCTACAGCTCATCATCTCAAGCCGCCCGAACCAGAACGGCTGCGCAAAGAGGTGTCGCCTCTTGGTGTGGATCCCAGGCTCCTCCGATTCCAGGTCCACCAGCAGCACCTCCAACCCATTTCAAGAAGATGGGATGCGGCCTCAGGATGTGTGAATCAACGGATGCGCTTGGATGGGCATGGATGGGGCACTGAAGGCTCCGTTTCTTTTCTCGCTGTGGGTCCACTGTTTGGGGCCATTCATGGCCGGCTGAGGCTCACCCGGGCGACCTCCGAATCCAGCGTCGAAGGAGTCCAAGCCATCTGCTGAAAAACGGCTAATAGCTCGAGAAGCGTCCAGTAAACAGGCCACCAATGTCTCGCATTTCAGCTTCTGTCAGTGCCATGTTGGCCGCTTGGAGGTCTTGCTTCATGTGCTGCAGGCTCCTTGGCTCAAAGATGCGGATGAGAGCCGAGTGAAAGCTGGCACAATCAGAACATACCGCCGATGCTTGCGCATCCAATCGCCACCACCTAAGAGGAAGTACTTGGGCGTTCTTGTTGTGAGGGGCATCCCAGGGAAAAAATAACGCTATAAATGTGTAACTCACCTACCAAATGGCAAACCAGTGGACATTCACCGTGGCTTGGGGGGGTTCGGTTTTGGCCGCGTGAGTTGTAGCATCCATCTTTGTTCACATCCTGCAATGCCCCAAAGACCCCCCCAAGGTGCATCTCTTCATCTCGCTGCGACTCCTGTAGACTGAAAGGTCACCCCAGGCCTGGAGATGTAAAAAATCTTCAGGAGACCGTGGGTTTTGTTAATCAACGGCAACGGTCTACAGTAGCCGCCAAAAAAAATACACAAAGGAATCGAAATTAATCATAATCCCAAAGAACCGCCCTCCGCACTCGAACCCAGCGGCTTGGTACCCGTCAACGGCTGATGCCCAGAGCGGATCAGCCAAGCGAAAAGCACTTGCGCTGGGGTGGCGCTTAAGCGCCGTGCGGCTGCGCGAATGGGTGGCATCTCCTTAGGCGGAGCCAGAAAGGCCGGACCACCATTCAGACAGGTGGGCCAGGCTGGGGAAGTGTCTAGTATTTCAAAGCTTCCCTCCCATCAAAAAGAGGAAGAGCAAAGTCGATACCTTCGGATCTGACCTTGGCAAGCCTCCAGCACTTTGGGAACATTGATGACTGTTAATGAATGAAACCCCACAGAATAATGTTTGCAAATTGTCCGGTTCGACTAATACTAATAAACCCCCAAAAAAATGTCTGCTGATTTTCGCCTGGCTATTTCTTAAGACAAATTAACCTTTGTGTTATTATGTTGTTGGCATTATTGATTTAAATACTTCCTGATTGACTTTCTGTTTGACATCTTTAGTTGATTGTCTTCGATTATAAGTGTATGTTGATCGATTGATGAGTCTTAATTGTTTAGTATTAATATGTTGGGATGTTGGTATGTTAACATGTTTTATCTTGAAAAAGCATTACCAACCAAAAAAAGTGTATGCTGTATTTTGGCTCGAAGTATCAGAATAGATCAAATATATTATATATCAGGGGGGTGCTGGATGTACCTTTGCGGCGGGTATTAGCAATCGAGAGTCTACATTAAGGGGTCCATTCAAATTCTCAATGTCCAGCATGTTGCATGTCCAGAGAAAATGGAGGAAATTCATCAAGTGTTTGCTCAAATGGGCACATCAAAACAACCTTCTAGATTCTAGATTCTCGCAGGCCAAACGCGTGAGCGAAGCACCAGCTGTCTGTAAGCTGCTGACCCCTCAAACATACCCCACCGCGCCAAGCATCCAGCAGGTGTGGGTTAGCCGTGAGGGTCCAAAAGGTCTGATATTTGACACCATTCTCCAGGCAAAAGGCCCTGAGCTCCCGATCATAGCCCGAATCTGCGTAGAAGCGATTCTGCAGCACTTTGGGCTTGATCCTAGGATTTGGCGGCTCAAAGGTAGCAGGCTTGACCCTCCTGATGCTTCCACGTGGAGTTCATGAAAATGACAAATGTTGGTCAAATCCTGAGCGTGATTTCTGAACTCTACACCAAGGACTCCGTGTTCCTCGTTCCCAACAAATCCCCGTGACCTCAAGCATACCTGTGGATGCGACCATTGAATACAGTACAGCAGATTACATCAGTACATCCTTGGTCGTGTGCCAACCCACTAAACACATTCTTGGACAGGGTAGCTACCACCTCGCACTGAAACCATCGCAAGCTTCACAAATTCATTGGACACTTCAGGCCCCTTCGCGCCTCACGGCATCGTAGATCATCTGGAAGACTCGGGGGGTCATAGCAGTTGCTGATCCCCAGTTGCCGCACATGTCCAGCCTCAACAGCCTTGGTCCCCACCCCTCGTGTGAATCATGCCATGGGTTTGTACATCATTGTACATCATCTTCCACATGGCATCAGCTTCACGGTACATTTGCGTTTTCAGGAGCCAGATCATCATTCCCAAAAGCATCCTACAAGGCCATTGATGGAGTGGAGGGATCGGGCACTGAGTCACTCAGCCGAACTTTGAATTGGCAAATGAAGCAGTGATCTGGGAAGTTCCCGGAAAGTTGCCTTGCCAAACCCCCTACGGCGCAAGGCAGAACTCTGACAAGACTCGCACACAAACGATGACGGTATTAATACGACGGTATCAGGTTCCCACACGCTCTGCCACAAAATCGTATCTCAACCAATGAGCTGCAAAATTCACTTGGTTCCTTGTATGCTTTTCTGTTGGCCGCAGGTGCTACATGGTGCCCCTACTTTCGAACCTCAGCTTTCTCATGCCTTTCTTTGGCTTTAAATCCAGGCTGTTCTGCCAACTCAGCCTCCAGCTTGCTCGAAAACGCCCCACACCTTGCGGCGCTGTGGGCTGTGGGCTGTGGGTTCACTTGGGCTGAGAGCCCTGTCGCAGTGGCACCCTCTGACCCTGATTAGAATGCAACAATTGAAAACAACACATATGAACAAATTGACAATTTGATCACAAGGCGTTGTCAACAATTCAACAATCGTCAATTGTTTGTGGAGGGCTGATTGCTTGTGGGTCCTCGATCTCCCCTCGCTCGGGGTCCAATAAGAAAACCTAAGAGTCCAAGTTGACAAGCCCACGGAACGCCAACTCGAATGTGCCTCCAAATTCTCCTCTAGGGTGGGCATGGGTGAATGCATCATCAAGGAATCGATATACGACGTCCGCAAGTTCTCCAGCGACTTTTGGATGGACTGCTCCACTTGCTTCTTCAAGGGGGGCCTGTCTCAGGAGTTGACACAAGGGCTTCTGGCGCCTAGGGCTTAGCTTCTGAAGACCCATTTGAAGTGAAGATCCACTTGATTGATTTAAAAAAACACACTTCGACAATTGTATTCAGTTATACTCAGTTCCCAGGTCAAAAATGGTGAGGGAACGGTATGGCGAAAAAGTCAGTTCACTTGAAGGTTGAACAGTTGGTTTGTGCATGACTGCAGTGGCAAACTCTCGCGCGGTCGGCTGCAGCTCACGAGCGGCTGAGAAGGGTGGTGGAAAACCTGTTTGTGGGAGGAAACATGCAACCACCATGAATCAAACCGATCGGATTGGACAGCTTTTGCAAAAGTTGGTCGCAGGTACACACCGAGACGTCTCTCAGTGCTTCCCATCTCGCTGCCTAGCTTTGTTAGACCAGGTTAGCAGCGAGATGCCTGGTCCCCCTGCGAGTGAAAGTTTGTGGAAAACCGGTGAGGGAAGTGGCGGTGGAAAACCCTTTGCCCAGGGGTGGACACACACAGATCGCCGGCGTCGGCGCTTTTTCAAAAAACGGTGGCAGGCGTTGTGGTTGTGTCCTTTTTGGACATAGAGCCTCACTAGCTCGGCGGCAGCAGAATCAGCGCTGGAGGGTGGAAATGTGTATTTTCGAATGGTGTGAAGTCTGGATTGGAGGCCTGACAGAGCCAAGCGCTGGCTCCCGGCGGTGGTGGAATCCCTGATTTTCCAGGGTTGGGAAGGTTGCATGTGTGTTCATGCATATCGAATTAAATTTGGAAGCTCAGGTCAGCTAGCTTGAGCTCTTCATGCGGAAAAGTCATGCAAAAATGCAAAACTGCAGAAAGCTACAGATTCTGTCGGAATAGCAATTCCCGTGGTGAGGCCCGGCGGCCGTTGTGGCAGTTAATTCAGTGGTTGTGTCGGTGACTTCCAGTGGAATTCCTGTGAAAAGTGGTGAGGTCAGTTAGTGCTTGCACGATGAGACAGCGCCCCAATGACGGGGATCACACTCAGCACCCGAGTGGGACGGCTGAGCGAAACACACTTCGACAATTGTATTCAGTTATACTCAGTTCCCAGGTCAAAAATGGTGAGGGAACGGTATGGCGAGAAAGTCAGTTCACTTGAAGGTTGAACAGTTGGTTTGTGCATGACTGCAGTGGCAAACTCTCGCGCGGTCGGCTGCAGCTCACGAGCGGCTGAGAAGGGTGGTGGAAAACCTGTTTGTGGGAGGAAACATGCAACCACCATGAATCAAACCGATCGGATTGGACAGCTTTTGCAAAAGTTGGTCGCAGGTACACACCGAGACGTCTCTCAGTGCTTCCCATCTCGCTGCCTAGCTTTGTTAGACCAGGTTAGCAGCGAGATGCCTGGTCCCCCTGCGAGTGAAAGTTTGTGGAAAACCGGTGAAGGAAGTGGCGGTGGAAAACCCTTTGCCCAGGGGTGGACACACACACACACATTGTACATAATACTGTATATAGTTGCATAGTTACACTAGTAATTAATTATTATCTATTTTTGTTATATAGTATTATATATTTATTGTTGTAAATATTGTATGACACGAACATATATGACTTCAAGGGGACTCCGTGGAATGCAACTCCCGGGTGCATCGGGCACGGTGCCTGCGTGTCATAGGGCACCCTTCGCGGATCTTGTCCACGGATGGGCGTGAACTTGGTCTGGAGCCAGAGTTGCTCCCTGGGCAAGTGGTCTTCCTCAGAACGACTTGTTTTTTCAAGACCACGCACACTGAGCGGTTGCTACCGCTACACACACTGAGCAATTGCTACCACTACCCAGTGAGAACAACTTGTAACTGTGTCATATGCCCTTGACTGGGAAGTCTCCAGGGTGACGTCAACTTGCACACCAAGGTCACACCCCTCAACTGAATCCTTCCAATCCCGTGTCAGACCAGGGCAGCCTCAGCCAGCCACCTGTGCACTTTCGCTGCCAGCCATCTCTGAAACCAAATGAGACAAAAACCAAATGAAACCAAGTGATGTGTCTGGTGGTTGACCCATCCGCTACAAGGATGGCCCCTCGGCGCTGAGACACTCATAGACACTCTAAGACCCTTGACACGGCCCATATGAAACACGGGGCTCCCAAAAACCGTAACGTCGGAGGCCGCGCCCACCAACCACCGGGAAAAAGGGCGGTCGAGGGGCGCTCGCCAAACGTGCTAAGGCTTCGCCCACCAAGTCTTCTTGGTAGTGCTTCGGCTGGCATGCAGTGTCGATACCGCGGAAGCCCGCCCTGGCTCCGGACGGCTGGCAGGCGGGTATTTTTCTTATGTAAGTATTTTAAGTATTTCTACATCATGCAGGGTGACCTGGGGCAGGTAAGAGGAATCACAAGGTCCTCTAAAAAACAACTTCAATTGCACTTTGTTCAATAAATTCAAGGAAAGGTTTAAATCTGAAACCACCACCCAGTCTCGTCCTCTCTCTCCCTCCACACCACCGGCCGCTGTTCTTCGCCGCCTCACCGCCTTCACGACCAGCTCGGCAGTTTGACCTTCTTTCCACGCTGTGCCATAGAGGAAAGGCAGCCCGGCCAGCTCACCAGCCCCGGAGGACACATGTCCTGCCCAAGATTCGGGTGCTTTCATGGGACTTGGCCTTCAAAAACCCACGAAGTGGAAAGAGGCATATTCTCATATCTCAGATTATCTCAAACAAATCATACATTTATATATTGCAGGTACAACTGCACCTCTCTGGAACTTCGTATCCTGGACCTCCTCCTCTTCCTCATATTCAGTTTCAAATCCCTATCAACCCGTGCCTGCCACCTCAGCCTTGGAGCTTGTGGATCGGCCGGCCACGCCCGCTACACCCAGTGCGCCCGCTACACCTGGCGGTTCGTCGGCGGTGGGTCGGCGGAGACACGGCGCTTGGCCGTTGCCATCCGCCAAGCCATGTTGGGCAACGCGGCCCCCACCCCAAAAAGAAACATGTCTTCCATGCAGCTGGTTGAATTGATGTGAATTGGCCAGTCCTCAAACCTGCGACCTGAGAAGGGAAGCATTTCCCTCTCGAAAACCTCTGCAGATTGTACTGATTTGTCGTTGACGGGTGAGTCGATTGGGTAACCAAGAACGAGGGTGAAAAGGGCCCGTGCACTGGCTGTTCGTCTACACCGCACAATGCAACAAAGCGCCGTAGTATTTTCTCGAATCCTGTCTGATGTTCCAGTTAATCAACCATGTCCAAGGCTCTAGCGGGGGCTGCTCATCTATCATGTCAAAGTTATTCCAAGGATTTCTTGCTGGTGGATCACTCCAAGAACCCCAAGACGCAGCGAAGTTTGGAGCCCACACTGGCATGCGTAAGGAAAGAACATCTTTCAAATTATGCTAGCGTGATCCATTTTTAAAACTGACCCGGAACGTTGGTAGAAATCATTGGCTTCCTGTCTTTGCTACATATGTTTGGCAAAATGTGGCAATATGAAATGCTCATGCATGCCCATGCTGCAAGAGGATAATACTGTAAGTGTTATAAATATATATATATATATTGCACTTCAGTCATGCTCCTATCTCACACCTACACCCTCCACAGGTGTGCACCTGCTGTGGCGGCCCAAGGGCCCCGGCTGGCCAGTGGCGCACTGCTGTGGCCGGAAGCCTGCCATGCAGCTGCAAAACCGCCATGTTTGTGAGAGAGCGGCCTGCCATGTGCAGCCTGCCATGCATGCAAACTGCCATGCAACTGCACTTCTTGTGGCTGAGGTGAGTGCGATTCCTTGTCTGATTGGGCAACATGGGCCAATGAATGCAGTACCACTGAATGGTTACATTCGCATGCTTCTAACTCAGCGATGATACGTATGCTTCTCTCACGCTGGTCGTTTTGGTGTCCCACCTGGGCCGATGCTGGCACAAAGATGGCCGAGGCACGCGGCATGGCCAGCCGGAGGGAGGCTGAGCGCATCTGGGAAGTTGGTAAGATGCTATCCATTGCCCATGCTTCTTCACCCCGTGATGCATGGGGTGATGCTGATGCAAGTTGGTAAGCTGCCTCCTGCCATCCACAGTTAATAAAATGCCGCGGTGCAAGGCATCTGGAAGACTTGCTTGCCTAGCGTGACAAGGTTGTGTGCAGAAGTCGCCTAGCGTGACAAGGTTGTGGAGATATCAGGTGGGCTCAGATAATGATAAACTCGTGATTGCAGAAGGCTGGAGTGCGCGCAAACTTGTGATTGAGCCACTCTACTCCTGCTAACAGTCTGCATCACGGGGTGAAGAAGCATGCAGCCAAGCTCAAGTCCAAGCCAAGCCCAAGAACTCAAGAACCTTTCCTGCAGTAAACAAAATTGCCTAAGGCAGTCTTGGCATGTTTGCCAGGAAAACGGCAAGTTCCTCCCAAGGGTGGTGTGTCTTAAAGTAGGAGACGCGGCCTGTGTGTGTATGTGCAAGTGTGTACATATATCTATAAATATCATAAAAGTATCATATATCTGTGCATATTCTGTGCGTGTGTTATGTGACGTGCATGTGCCTGTATGGATTCTTCTGGACTGTTCTGCCGGTGCAAGTGGGAAGCGAACTCAAGTCCGAACTCAAGTCCGGCAGTCCCTCCATGTCCGCGTCGAAGGACTGTGTCCGCCAAGGCTGGGACGCCATAATGTCATAGAGCGACTCTGCCTGCTTCACGGCCAAGCGATAGAACCTGGGGCTGGCAGCATGCAAAAACCAACTCTCAAAGCTCCTCCAGGTCGTAAATGCTTGATAGCCCTGGCTAGATTAGGGGATGAACCCAGCAATATACAGTAAGTGGGATGTAAGACAAGCCCCCAAGTCCTAAGTACTCACAGTACTAAGTGGCACTGGGGAGAACCACCAAGCAGGTCTGTTGAAAGAGCTGGCCAAGTGGGTAGTTAATCCCGAGTACCTATTAAAAAGCGGACCCCAGTTTAAAAAAGTCATGCCGAATCCCCTAAATTCGGTTTATATTTGGTTTTAAATTGCCGCCCTTTCAAACCGCTACTAAACTACCAACATGGTCGATTTTGGGGGTAGTTTTTTTTTAAGGTTCCCCAAAACTCCACCATGACACGCCGCGCTTACACCAGCAGGCTTTCCTTCCCTCAATGGCACGGACTCACGCAAACGCACTTGCCACCGAGGTCATGCAACACCGCATGGCACAGCGACATCACCTTTCGAAAGCTTTAGCTGTTAGTCTACTGAAGAATCACTATTCTAATGAAGGTTTTTGTAGGGGAAAGGAAGACCCTTCGATCTGGCGGTTTTTTGGATTTTTGATATAGTTTAATAAAGGATTTTATATAAAATTTTCCTGGATTACTTTTTGGTTTTGAAACTCTTTCCAGGTGACCCTATTTTGGGCCCCCGATTTCAGGGACCCCCTATTAGAAAAAATGCGACCGAGGTTTCCTTATTAGGGGGGGGGGTACGTGTTTTTTATTAGGTGGACCGGATTAATCAGGCTGCTCCTTGCAACAGCCTTCATCCACGTGTCGTGGTGTGTCTTCTTGGATGTGCACGTCGGTTTTGCATGGTCTAGGTGGGGAGTTGACCATTCCAGCCACACATCTGCAGCCCAGAAGCTGCAGATCCGCCTCATTGATCTCTCTCAGGCCAGTGCGCGCCTAGCATCAAGCTGGATTCGAGCTATCCTCGAGAAACCCACCAGGGCTTGAAGCGCGGACGTAGTGAGACCTGCTAAATCACTCAGAATGACTCTGAGGCATTCTATGGCAGATTCCATCCGGCAAGACGACTGCGGTTCCCCTCATTACCGTTCCCCTCCACCAAGATCCACGCCAAGAGCTCGACGTCGTCTTCGCTTCCTTTTTCGTCCTCGGGCCGCTGGCTGTGAGCCTCCGCGCCGCGGTCGCCACCTGTGCTGTGGAGGCTGGAGATCGAATGCACTGCCGGAGGATGAAGGTGCCAAGGTCAGGATTCCTCGGTGCCCACCCAAAGGAGAGCGGTTTTGGAGACCACCCTGGTCGCTTACAAGGAAGCCTTCTGTGTTTGTTTAGGGGGTGGATTTGTAAGGTCTTGCAAATTGGCTCTCCCAGTGCCGAGGGGGCCTCTGCTCGCCTCAAATTGTCCAACTTCCAGAAGCTGAGCAGCTTCAAGAAGAGTCTTATCCAGTTCTGGGAGAGGTTGCAAAATGTTTTGCTCACTAGGGTCACTAGGGATGAGAGGGCGCCCTGTTAGGCGTGGCTTTTCCCAAACTGGCTGTGATCGCCGCCGCTCTATGCCCACAGCACCAGTAGCAACATAAGAACGGAAAATAATAAAGGTTGATGCAAAAGATCTATATTCGTCTTCGTGGCACATGTCGAGTTTCTTCTTTGCTTCTTCCGCCCGGGAAAGGCCGAAAAAGGAATCAGCTCAGCTGAAACCACCTGACCAACTTGTGACTGATACTGATGTCACCAAAGGATTAAGAACCTTCAGAACCCCCCATTTTGTTGCGTCCAACGTTTCTCTATATACTATTATGCCAACCGCCTGTGAAACACCAATACAGCATGCAATGTTCCTATGTCTTGCCACCCACCATCGTCCCCCCCCCACACACACAAGCAACATGTAGTTGAGCACTTTGGCTTAGTGTCGCCTGAACTCGATTGGCCTCTGTTCACCGACCATCAGGGTGATGGGGAGACCCCTCTCCCCCCTGAATCAATGGGTTTTCAGGGGCCATCCAAATGATTCAGGTGGTGCTTCAGAACCAACACCCTGTAGACCTTTTACGGTGGTCATTTGAGAGAATGATTGCACGATTACTACATATTGCTTCTCACCTGCTCCCCAAAGTGGGGAGAGATTGCCAGACTTGACCAGACCCCGTTTCACTGAATCCTCGCCATAATGCCGTTGTCCCGAGAGTCTTGTAGTAGCTGATGTGGCTTGGCACTGCCTGGAATTTGGGTTCAGGAGCAAACCCAGCCAGCTTCAATTTTTGGGGCAAGCACACCCAGTGCACCTTGGGCAAATAGTTCCCTCAACAAAATGTTTTTGTGCTAAAAATATTCCACCCAGCCCACTAACCCACTCCACAGTTACAAACTGTACATCATGATTCCAGTTGAGAGCCCCTGCATCCTCCAGCATAACTTTGCTTAGTATTAATATAATCTATCTATTTGATTTTATATAAATATATACTAACACAGACATATATATATATACATTTAATACCATTGTATAATTAATTGCCTATATATCCCGATCTATCCCGTGCATTTATTACTGCAGGGGTCTCGCGTTTTCCTACGTGTACACCGCCTGCAGCAGCTCCGAGGCGCTGCTCAGCGCCGCCAGCGGCAGCGCCCAGTCCACTCGCTGCGCGTGACACGCGTCGCGGTCGTTCAGCTGGGCCGGCGCGGGAGGGCACGGCCCATGGGGCCAGAGGAGCGGCTCCATGCGGTAGGCCACTGGATCCAAAGGGTGGAAGATGTTGAAAAACCTCACCTGGTGCAGGGGCGGAAGCTTTGGCTGTGTTGAGCCTGTGGTGAAGCACTGGAGGGACTCAACGAACTTCGATTGGGAACTCGGAGGTCTCAACAGTCACATTCGATCCGGCTGTGCGACATTCAAAGGAAGGGATCTGTTCTATTTGTATTGCAACTTGTGTTGAATGTCATCCACTTCTTTCTTCATTCTTCTTCATTCTTCTTCATTATTCTTATTCTGCATTCTTCTCCTTCTTCATTCTTCTTCTTCTTCTTCTTCTTCTTCTTCTTCTTCATTCTTCTTCTTCTTCTTCATTCTTCTTC